CATATCATCTGATTTCAAGATTTTTACCTTATACAAAATTCTTCCTGAACATGAAATAGGTTAGTGAACTGAAATTGGGCTAAATTTTATAATGAACTTGATCATAATTTGGTTTCATTAGTATCTTTCTTCTTTTTTACAGAATTTTCATTTTTAAAATTTAATCAGTTATATTATGTTTAAATTTACCATGAACGTGATTTTTAATTTAGTATCACATATAGTAAGTTTTTTACAATAATACAGTCAAAAGTCGTTAATTCGGACACCCATAATTCGGAATGATCTATAATCCGGACTCAAAACAAAAAACTTTCTGCGCATGCGCCGCGTTGACACCATGCGCACAGGCGTTTACGCGTAAGACCTTTTACGACTGCGCATATGAGTGTGCGCAAGTGCGAATATGTTTTGCGTGCGCATTTTATGTGTAATGGACGTATAAGCTAAATAATTATCTAATTCAGTTAATGTTGCATGATTGCGTTGTTCCTTAATCTTCGAATCGTATCTGGCTTATTATTTTTTGCAGACTGTTAGAGCAATTTTATAAAAGTAAGCTTGAACTTTCGATTATATCAAATAGAATTTCCGATATATATTTGTTAATATGTAAAGGTATCTACAAAGCGAAAGTATGTTTTGAAATCCGAAATCTGTTTATCAATTTCACGCTGCTCGGGGGGGAACGCCGCTGCGGGCGCGTAATGAATTGGAAGTTGATCTGTCAGCACTATCCTTATCTTCAGAGCAGATGTTTTTATTTTATTTGGTTTATAATTCCGTACAAATGTAGTATTTCATCTCGATGTACTCCATCATTGATATGATTTAAATCAAGTTCCTTGTCATTATAATTCGCTTCTGATAGTGAAGAAAGTGACCCAGAGGTTATTGAAAACGAAAAAGTTTCGATTGACAAATTAGTCGGTATTCTCAACACAGCAATTATAGGACTTAAACAGCGGAACTTTGTAACTAAACAAGAAATTATGTCTGTTTAATAGAATTAAAGAGAAAATATTATCACATGAAACGAAGCAAACTTAAACAACTTACATTGAAAGAAATGTTTAATAAAGTAAACAAAAATAAATATTAAGCTTTTTCTTTTTGTAAATTTTGATACCCTTTAGATCATAATTGTTCTTTATTTCATAAATTACGGTTTCATACTTTTAATTTTAGAATTTCTGCATGCCATCTTACGAGATTTAAACTGATGATCTATAATCCGGAAAAATTGATAATCCGGAATCGCCCGACGATAATAAGTCCCGACGAGTCCGGATTAACGACTTTTGACTGTATATAATTCTTCAGATAGTCATGTGTGCTGTTTGTTCTTTTAGTTCTGAAATTTATTGTTGCATTAGCTGTTAATAAATTAGAATCTTGCCGATATAATGCCTCCACAGCCAGTTTTATTGGAAGCAGAGCTGATACAGTGCTGGATACTAAGTTGAATTCACTATAGGAAAAATTACTTTGCAGGTTAAGGTCAATTATTGCTTTTTGGATTGGATTTTTCAGTAATAAAAATCATTCCACCATTAGGAGTAAACTGTTCCAACGTGTTTCAGAATCTAATATTAATATATGTTCCATTTTATTTTCAGTTAGTATATATTTTTGTAATTAGGCATATTTTGTAGGAGAATGCTTAAATATCTTAGCAATTTTTCAAAATTAAGAGTTAGTATTTCATCCTCATTCTCTTCAAAGTCGGAATCAGAAGTTTCTATATGCACAGTATTTGGGGTTTTCTGTTGTTTATTTTTTTGGTATAATATATCTATTACTCCTAATTGAATTCCATGAGCATAGCACAATTCCTGATTTGCACTAATCAACTTTTTTTTAAAAACCGTTGGTCCATCAGTCATAATGGATACAATATTTTCTTTCAGGGATAATCCATGTTTTCCTAATTTAAACACTTCCATACATTCTTCGCTGGCATACTTACTGACACATGTGTAAGTCCTATATTCCAAAAAAAAATTTTCTGAATGAATATTCATATTTATATAGCATCTATTTCTTACACTTGTCCATTCATCAAATGTAAGACTAAATTTTTTACCATTTATTTTTAATTGCATTAACTCATGTTTCAAAGAATTGTGAACACAGTTACTGCGGTTTATAACAGTTCTTCTTATAGTGTTAATCGATGTTGGTAGATTTTTAAAACCTCTGGCAGATAGTGATTTTCTTAATTCAGTAGAAGTGCAAAACACTCGAAATGGCAAACCATCTAATGCTGTTATTTTACTTATAATTCCATCAATTTTTTTTTTTTTTTTTTTTTTCAAAATATCCACAATCCTTGATGATTGGGCTTAGAAGCTGTGCTTAAATTTGTATCTTCATTGCAATTAGATTTTTTTTCCTCTTCGTTACATGTTTCATGTTTTTAAATGTGTATGGAGTTCACTTGTATATTCTCGATTCACTTTAATAACTCTTGAACATTTTTTACATTATTTTCATCACATATATAATGAAACCAAACTGAAGTATTATCAACAGATTTTTTATGCTCTTTAAAGTTATTCTTATTCATTATTATTTATTAATTATGAGTATATAATAAATCTGAAAAATACTTTGAACCATAAAGTATGATATGCAAATACAATGTGAATAACAAACTCACCAATTTTAAAAATATCGAAATTTTTCAAAATATTTTGCACTTTCTTCACAACTACAACTTTGTTTTCCCACATTTGAATATCAGATTATGAAACCTGTGCATGTGCTGTATTGCTCTGAGCTGTAATAGGAGAGGACAGTTTTGGCTCACCTCCTTGGATGATTCACATATTGTATCACTTCTTTAGAGTGTATGATTCATATTCACAGTCTAATTAATTTTGCCCATTAGGGACACATCAAAGCAAAAACATATACTACTTTGCTATGTTAGAGACCCCTGAACATATAGTGGAAACAATTAAAAAAAGTTCTAGTAAATACTGAAAAAGCGATATTTAAACTTGCAAATACCAGTATTACAAAATTGAACAAATGGTTCAAAATACCGGTATTCGGTATCCCGGTATTGCAATGCCTACTCAGGTCGTATCATATATGATACTTTTCAATTTCCCTCTGAGGGCCCAGATTATCAAATGTGATGACTGCTGCTAATTGCCCAGCACATCATATTTGTGCTGAAAAGGAAGATTATATTTCAAACTTTAAATGCGTATAAATTAAGTCAGAATGTTTTAAAACCTTACATGGAGTTTCTTGAGTAACAGTCTTACTGTTACGTATATGATTTATCACTTTAATCCACAAAGTAAATGCACAGTGCTTATAATGGAAGTTTAAAATTTAGAAATGTGACAGAAAAGAATGAATTAGAACTGTGTTAGAAATTTAGAAATCATAACACAGGCATTTCTTGCATAAAAAGAAACAGAGGTAGATATAAGCATATTTAATTTACTCAATTCATTAATAATCATCGATGAAATATTCTGACTGTTTAAATCATTAAGTTAATTGGATGCAGCAAATGGTACTTTTTAGTCTATAGTTTGCCTTATTAAGTTATTATATACAACTTGTAATCATTTTCACCCACAGACAAATTTACCATCTCACTAAGAATGGCAGATGTTTTTATTCAAGCACATTAATATCCCCCCCAACATCCGAATGAGGAAACATCTTCTTAAATATAAAACCAGTATGATCTGAAGCATTCAAAGCAATGCTGTGTTCAATCAAAAACTGTACACACATACTCTTGGCATAAATAATGTTAACTTCAAAATCAGACAAATTTTTGAAAAAATGTGGTCACGTTTTAATTTTAACTAAATTTTGAACATCTGATTTACTTTTCCGTATGTTTTACAATACCACTTTTTCCACAATGAAGTATTTTAAAATCATATTCACATGCATCATGAAATCCATAAGTATTTACCTTGCATAATTCTTTAATACAAAGAAACTCATCCTTGTAAGGTGATTAAAAAAAAAATCTGAGAGTTTTTCAGATTTTATATTATGCCAAAGAGGCCATTTTTTTAAAAAAAATGTTCTGTGTTTTACCTTTATTGATTAAATACCGAGTTCTTTGCACTTAAAATACATATCACAAAATATTTAAAAAAACGACATATCTTTAGAATTCCTGATACACAGTCTCATGAAGGCAAAAATGTTTTTCTCCATACAGTGTTACTAGTCTCATTTTGAAATTGTTCAGTTTCTTAATCAGAAATTCGTTAAAGTTTTTTCAAAATTTTAAATAGAAAATAAAACAAATTCAAAATTCAGGCTTTGAAGTGCCCATGTTCAGTTGGAGGACTAAGTTTTTAAAATTCGATGGCTCTAGGTACCAGTTTCTTTGACAATGCAAGAAACATTCAAAGAGATTCTTCATTACTTATTTTTTTAAATATAATACATGGTGATAATGTTTGGTGGCAACAGTTTGAAAAGTGAATCACAAAATGCTGTTTTGAAATTAATAGCCCTTCTGGACTAAAAATAGAAATACACGGTATAAAAATGCAGAAGCAATGAAATGCTCCAGGGTTACATTCTCCCCCAAATGATCATGCAGTAACCCTAAAATCCAACAAAAGTGTGCAACAAAAATAGATCAGGCAACAAATCGTCTCGATGGAGAAATTTTTTTAGCATCACAATAAAAATAATGTAAAAAAGTGTTTTCAAGCATAAAATCATAAAACAGCAGTTTTTGTATTATATCAGATCATTCATCTTTACTAAAGCCACTATTCTGTTTATAAACAACAAAGAAATCACTGCATGGAATCTGTAGAACCAGAATAAATATCAATATATTTTCTAATATTAGTGATAATTTCCATTGTTAAATTAACAAGCAATACCTTTATAAATTAGAAAATAAATGAAAGGTATGACAACGGGATTGATTAAAATTTAGTAACAACTTTATTTTTAAAGTAGAAATACTTATTCTTTCTAGTATTTAGATAACATACCCTTTCCTGCATCAGTTGACACTGTTGACAGTACAGTTTTGACTCCACTTGAAGCTGAGGACACAATTAAAGAAGTAGGTGTTCCTGATACCTTTGGCACAGATGTTATCAGTTTCGTAGGTGTCCCTGGTTTCCCACTGCCAGGAGCTGCAATAACAAATGTCTGTTTGGAGGCTGAAGCAGTAGAAACAGTGTTTGTACCAGAGGTTCCAGCAACAGATGGTTTGGCAACACTAATTATATTTGTGGGCAATGTTCGAAGGATGGTAGTCATCACTTTTTGTTGCAGCATTCCCTGGAAATAGAAATTGGGAGAAAATTTTATAGATGACTAAATAATTAAAATTTCATGGCATAAAAATCAATCCGTGCAATAAAGGTTAAATAAGTTTTATAACTAATTAGAAACATGATTTTTCTGATTAATTAACTAACAAATAAAAAAATAAAATACAGCATAATTTTCCCCTTATTAATCAAGGGGGGGGGGAAGAAATTTCAGGCACTGTGCAACACAGTAGATGCCACTAATTAATCAAGTTTCAAACATTAAATTTTAAAGCAAGATACAAAAAATTAACAATATGTTACATATGCTGACACACTTTTTTTCTAGTCGGTGATGAGGATTTAAATGTGTAAAAAAATCAAACTACCCCTCTTTTGAAACTTGTTACTACTGAATAATCCTTATTATACTGTAATCTGTCTTCTGATACAGTTGACTCTCAGAGTCAACAGAAATTTTGACATTCAGTGAGGGCATTCCAGAGTCCTCCTCAGCAACTGTCAAACATAACTGAAATTTAAAATTACCAAACTTTAATTTTGAGCAATTTCTCTTAACTTCCTCCCTCACCATGCAGGATTAAGTAAGTTTCTCCATAGGCCTGTCACTCTGGACTACTTTACATCACTGCACCCAGTGCTTTTTGCTATTACACATAGGAGTCCTTATTTATACAATTAAAATTAAAATATAGAAAAAATGCACTCCCATTACTTTAATTTGATAACCCTACAGAGGGAAACTGAAACAGATCATACATGATATACTAGCCTGATAAGACTATCAAACTGAACGTAAATATTAAATACTTACCTTATTTTGTGGATTCTCTTTTATTAATTTTTATGCTTAATGGAGTGATAAGTTCTAAAAATTTGATTTACTAAAAGCAAATAGAGCCTTGAGAAACATTTCACTGCTTGAAATCTTCAATTCATATCACAAAACCCCATGACAGACATGACCAGCAACTTCTTATTTGATTCTCACCCACTACAAGACAAAGCCTTTCAGTTATAAGTGTAGGAGTTAAGGAAACTGGTTTTGCATCAAAGAAGTTTTCTAACGTAGATTTTGTCTGCAATGCATCTCTACTAAGGCTATTGCTTTTATTTACAACCTGTTGTTGCTATAGCAGTTCAGTTTATTCACAGTTTGCTTGTTATTATTCATCATTCTACTCGAAGCTTAAAACCTTACTCTGAAATATATCAGTCCAGAGAATTCCAAAACATATTTCACATGGGTGCCAGGTACATCTTACTCAGGATGAAATGAAAGGCAGAAATAAGGGAAAAAATGTTTTTCATTTTAAGATGATACATCACTTCATATATGTAACCATAATAACTTTCTCAAATTTGGAAAAACATTTTGAATTCATTAATACTAATTATCATCTATAGTAAGTTATATGCAGCAAAAGATATGACTAAACAATGCCATGTAAGAATTACTCACTGAGACTTTAAAGATAACAACACTGAATTTCATATGCAAGTGATATATCGGGTATTGAAGAAAGTTTCCCGCCACGACAAATATTGTCAGTGAAAACAGTTCATGTTAGCATGATTAATCATCTTTTGTCAAATGATGTTTGGCATTTAAAAGAAAGAAACTTGCTGTAGAACACTGTGCTGGGAAATTTGTAAAAAAATATCGTTATCATTAAGTGCAAGGTGTTTGAATTGGAACTATCACACTACCAGATTAGAACCATTATTTACTTCCAAAGGACCACAAGTGGCCAGGCGGTAAAGTCATTGGAACACTGATAGTTCGGTCCGAGGTTCGAATCCCCCCAACGGGCTGGATGCATGGGTCTTTTCGTGGTTTACCCCATGTGTAACGTATATACGAGTTTGTTTCCTTCAGAAAGTCCTCCACAAAGGCATCCCCCCTAGGCAAATAGCCCTAGTTTGCTTTGCCATAATTAAATAAACCAAACAATTTTTTCCCAGTTCTCTTGCCAGCTACAGAATGTCACCAAATCATGTGTACAGTTTTAGGTACTAATGTTGTACGATATGATACTGTAAAGGCTTGGTATTGAAAGTTCAAAAACAAGAACTATGACATTCAAGAAGCAGAGCACTCTCACAGCCTACTCATGTTCATGAGGATCGCCTGCGAGATCTTGTGGAAGATCAGTATGCAATCATTTGAGAGCTTGCTAAGGAGTTAAGGCGTCAGTCCCATGTCCATTAGTCGCGCTATGCACCACATGAACTTGACATAGAAATTTAATCACTGGGTGCCGCATGAGCTGACCCAAGTAGATAAGAAGAGACGTGTTTGGGTCTGCACTTATCTCTGAGAATATCAATCCAAGGACAAAATTCTGGACCGGATCATCACTTGTGATAAAAAGTGGATTTAGTTCAAGAACACTTGCTGAAAAAGGGGTTGGTCTGCGTCCTGCGAGCCCATTGGCAGAGCCGCAAGTGCAATTTGACTAACAAAAAGATCATGCTTTGTATCTGGTGAGATTGCCATGGTATTATCCACAAAGAATATCAGAAAAGGGGTAAAACCCTTGACAGTAAGGTGTATAGAGAGTTGCTAGTCAGTGTTTATGCTGCTACAGGGAAAAAACATCGAACTGAGTTCCAGCATAAAAAAGGTAATGTTCCATCAAGATAATGCAAAGCAGATGTGTCTCCATTCACCAGATGACAGTGTATGGACTTGAATGGGATCTTTTGCTACACCCACTATTATAGTTCTGGCATTGCCCCTTCGGACTTACTCAGGTACAGTATCTATGAAGGCTTTACTCAAAGCCTATGAAATACCTATGAAGAAAACTTCAGGTATAATTTTATGAAAGTGCACTACCTAGAAGTCGTAACCTGAAACAGAAAGGTGTCTCATTGCTTTTTCTTTTTCTCAAGGTAAAGCACATAAGAAAAATTCAATTTTGAGATTAGCTTAGTTATATGGTCATTCAATATATAATAATGAATATTATGAATTTCTTAAATAATAATTTATATTTTTCAATGTGCTTAAAATTATTTCTATTCTTCATTGTAGTAACTGCTTTAAGGTAACCGATCTCGTTCAAAAGGCCGATTTCAACTCAAAAAACTCATTTTTTAAAAAATTTAACATGTTTTAAGACCACATTCTTTGCTATCAAAAACAGCTTTTCTTTTTTTGATATGTTGATTAGAAGTAGAGATATACCAGTTACTCTGAGATACAACAAACCAGAAGTAACTGTCTGCCACACCAGAAGTTAAAAGTTTAAAGGGCAAATTAAAGGTGCACTTTCCACTTTTTTTCTATATTATTTATAAAATAAACAATTTTAAGCATTTCAATATGTTTGAAGAATTTGGCAATGTATTTTCTTCTCTTTTGTACTTGGCATTTCAAACTTACCATTTTGTTTACATTGAGCTTTCCATACTTTTGTTTACAAATTTCCTCCACTAATTTATTAGCTAAAGATTCATTTTTTCACTGTTTTTGATTGTATTTAAATAATCAAAAGTTCTATAAGCCAAAAATATATACGTTGTCGTTCAAAAAAGTGAAAATTTTACAGTAATCGCTATACTAAATATGTGACTGCTGATTCTGGTAATCACAATGAAACTGTAACATCTGTGTGTGCTAGTTCGGCTAAATTATCCAGAACATAAATTTAAAATGAAAAAAGTGATTTTAATAAATTAAAAGGTAATCGTATTATTGACGTGTATTCTTTTAAATATTATTCCCGTCATTTTGCTGCCCAAAATGTTTGACTAATTTATCTCTTGCTGAAAATTTTCACTTTGGTTTATATTCTTATTTCACATTAAGTTGCAAGATGTAGTTTCAGCACAAGTTTTGCATTTTCAGAAAACACTGAAAGGTCTTTGAACATAAACTGTAGATTTGCATTCGCATTGAGATTAATTAGGAAATGACTGATTGATCCAAAAAAGAGGATTGAAAAAAAAAAAAAAAAAAAAAAAAAAAAACTCATATTATTTTAGCAACGGCTAATACTTCGATGATGAATGCCACTACTGAAGTTCAGCAATTATTGAAATGTAACAATAATAACTGAGATAATAGAATGTGGAGCATCCGTTGATGAAATGTGGCAAAGGAGAGGGTACTCATCATTGAACAGTTGCATTGCTGCTTTGTCTATTCAGACTGGTAAAATTTTAGATATTGAAACTTTATCTCAGTATTGTAAAGCATGCAAGAAGATTGGGAAAATGAAACCAGGTCTAAAATATGAAAAATGTAAAGTAGAACATACTTGTCCTTCAAACTATACAGGTTCATCCACAGGAATGAAAGCAGCTGAAGCATATCATATATTCGAACACTTAGTTGCCTTGCACCATTTAAAATACGTAGAATTTTATGGAGATGGTGATTCGAAAGGTTTTTTGAGCGTGAAAAATATGTATGGTCTAAAATCTGTAAAAAAATTTGAGTGCATTGGACATGTACAAAAAAGGGTGTGCACTGCGAAAACTGAAGAATTCGATGCCTGGATTAAAAGGAAAGCTTGCAAACTGTTTCATTGACAAGTCAGGAACTATAATGGAATTGATATTAGGAGGGATGTTGGCAATTTAGATGATATGCAAAAAGCTGTCATAGCTATACTTTTTCAATGTGCATCAAACTCTAAAAATGTAATGCATGGTCAGTGTCCTCGTGGTGTAAACAGTATCAACATGCTGTTTGCTGAAAAAATATATACAGAAAAAGCAAAAGGACTTCCGGTAACTGTTTTAAATATCATAAAATCAACATATATGAAACTGAATAATAGGGAATTGTTACAGAAATGTGCGCATAGTAAAACCCAGAATGGCAATGAGAGTTTCAATGGAATTCTGTGGCAAATACCTAAAAACATATTCATTGGGTTAAAAACTTCAATATTTGGTGCTAATATCAGTGTGATTTAATTTAATAATGGATTTTCTGGTTTTATTAAAATATTTGAGTCGCTTAAAATGACTCCTGAATATTTTTTTACAGTCCAAAGGTATAAAAATTATATGTAACATGAATTGCCGATTTCCACTAAAATTCACAGGAAAAAACTGAAATCCATTCAAAAACATAAAATGAAGGACCGATGATTAAGGCAGGAGCATTTGAAGTGAATACTTGTGTACATGATGATGTGATTTATTATTATTTTTTATGATATATGTTCATGGCAACCATGATAACTCTAAAAGTTCATTATAGAATCATTTGAAATTTTGGACACATGTTTTAAACATTACAGTTGTTATTATTATTATTATTATTATATGAATACATAATGTTGACTAAAAGTTAAAAAATTAACCCCACATTACATAAATAAATTACAGCATTTTTCCTTCAATAGCACACGCATTTAAAAAAATTTTTTAGTGTTAACAGAGATACATGGCCATATACTGGTAGTGAATCAATATTTTCAAATTATTCTAGTTTAATGCATGCTTCTAGGTCGTATATATATAAAAAAGACAAAAATAGATTTTTATCATCATTTCTATCATTAATATTTTCTTGCAAGTCATGGTTGATGTTTTCATTAATTTTGTCAAAAAATTTTTAATTTTTGCATAAATTTTTCTAAATAATGATTTTTACATCATTTTTGCAGTTATTATATTTAACTCTGAGTACAATTCATACTACATTAAAATATCACACAAATTCAAAAATATAACAAACACTTTGAAAAACGCCCTTTGAACGAGGTCTGTTATAAAATTCTACAGTATTATATACACACATTTTTAGAAACCTCATTTAGGAAGCAGAAAGGTTGCACAGAGATTGCATCAGGAGAAAAATACTTAGTGCCAGCTCGGTGTACGATGCATTAAGACATGTTAGATGAATCTTTTAAAAGCCTAAGTTTTCAATTTCTTTATTAATAAAAAAAACATACCTTTCTCTAATGCCTGCCCAAGTGATAAGATTAGAAGCATTTTTGATATTTTTTATGCTTGTGTCTAGTGAAAAGTAGAGAAAATAAAGGGAAGATAAACACATTAAGAAAAAGATTCTACTAGCAGAAGTAAAACATACAAATATTATGTTTTCATTGTTCTTCCAGACGTTCTCCAAAATGTAAGAATTAATCTCAAACTTTCTGTAAAATACATCATTTATGTGTCCATACCATGGAGACATTTTTCATTTTGTCACATATTTCTCGAATCTTCTACAATCGTGAGTCTAAAAATCTTCCCTTCAAATCCTTCTAAACCTTCCAAGCTGCAATGACTAAAATCCTAAAGAAAAATTATCCCTACCAATTCTGTAACAGGAAAAAGCCAGAAATATTTTGGGGAAAAAAAAGGGAGGGAAAAAGCGTAAAATTAATTTTACATAGAAAACTGATGCATAGTCTTAGAATTTTGAATATTGTGAGACAGTTAAATGGGGAAAACTCTTACTATCGAAAAATTAAAAAGAAAACATTTTTAAATATTTACATAGCTAATTTTGCCTTTGTTAATAGCTGTTTCATAAATTCTGCTTTACAGCATTATACCTTGTTTAATTTCCTTAATTTTGCATTATTTAATTTTGCATTATACCTTGTTATTTTGGGGAAAAAAAAGGGAGGGAAAAAGCGTAAAATTAATTTTACATAGAAAACTGATGCATAGTCTTAGAATTTTGAATATTGTGAGACAGTTAAATGGGGAAAACTCTTACTATCGAAAAATTAAAAAGAAAACATTTTTAAATATTTACATAGCTAATTTTGCCTTTGTTAATAGCTGTTTCATAAATTCTGCTTTACAGCATTATACCTTGTTTAATTTCTAGATTCAAAATATTGTGTAAGTTGCCAAAATGAAACTTTATAATATAACAGCGAAAAATAAAAATGTTTTATGTTAATGTTATTTTTTAATTATAATTTCAATATATTCCCATTATTTATTTTTAAATATAATTTCAATATATTACCATAATTTTAATGAAATTTATCAATGTTGCAATGTTTTAAAAAAAATTGTCGAAAAGTTCTCAGATCTCGTAGAAACCGATCTTAAAATCACCAAAATTTTGATAAGTCGCCAAATTTAGAACTGTTTAATAAAAGAATTCACATCCCCAAAAGCGAAAATTTGTTTAAAATTTCTTTATCAGAAAAAATGAATTTTGAAAACCTTATGTTTCACTTCTTGCTTAGAAACTCGAGTATACCATCATTTAGACTTGAAATAGAAATAAATTATAACACATGAACCCATTCAAAAGATAAACATAGATGTCAGTGAATTGCCCAAAATGTACCTCCAAAATGCTAATTCACACTCAAAATGGCAGTTGTAAAAACAAACAGAAATTTCAGATGATTAAAATTAAGGACCTTTTGTTGAGTTTGGCCAAAATTAAGGACCAAAAATTGATTCCAAAAAATCTAAGTACTTTTAAGGACCGCATGAACCCTGACAATGTAATGCAAAAATATATGTAAATATCTCACTATTTTTCCCATAGACATTTTATGTTATTTTTACATTCAACTTGTAAGTTTTTTATGGAAGGTCCATTCGTAAATTGAACACATCTTCTGTATGCAACTTACGAATGCATGCTGCCTGGCTAGTCATGGAACTAACAAAAACTGTTAATAAATAAACAATAATCTCTATTTTAATTTAATATGTAACAAAACAGATGAGGTTAAACTGTTAATAAAAATTCTGATGGCTTACTTGTGGAGATATTCCTAAAATAGTTGCTTGGCTCGAATTAGATTGAGGAGACAAAATAGCAGTTCCTTGTTTGGCTCCTCCACTATTAGCTTGGGTGGTAACTAATTTCACAATAGTTGCACCTTGTGGAATGGTTCCTTTAGTCTAAAATCAGAAGTACATGAAGTATTAAAAATACAAAACCAAAGTTAAAAATACGTCAAATTGTATTAAAAATTCACATCTTCTTTACAAAACATGATGATTTACATCATATAAAACTGCCTTAAATCATGGTACCAGGTCATTTATTCTAGAGATTAACAACTTTTGTTCATGTCCTCTAGAATTAATCATATATATACATAATTTGATTTTTTCTTAAAAAATGTGTCGCCATATACTTAATGAAATGTTTTGAACATATTTAACACATTCAAACTCGTCTCTCACGCACTAAGAAGTGACAATGGGGAAGGAGGTATAAAGCAACAAGATATTTCTTTAATAATATTACTAATGAAAAAATGAGTAAAGAAAAAATACAAATTAATTTTTATTTTGATATCACTAACGCCAATCATTTATTATTTAGTGTGTATACAGACAAAGATGATAAAAGTTCAGTACAGGGAATCAATAAATAGGAAATGATGCTTTAATCTCTATGAACTTTAGAAACGAAAACTCACATAAGTATATAGATCCAAAAGAAGAGTGGACATACTTGTTACACTTAGTAATGTTAGATTACTTTTCATGATTGAGTTACTTCCATAAATCTTCAAGTTCTTTGCCTTATTTTGTTAGACAAGTTTGTGAGGTAATATTTTATTGTCTAGTGCTTTTTTCAATATTAAATGTGTCAGAAATGTTTTCAGTAATATGTTTTAGATTAAAATCCTTTTTTAAAAGGAAAAGACAGTTACTGCTAATAACATTTTTAAAATCACGAAGACCACAATCTCTTGTTTAATTTCTGCAATGTAGGTTTCAATGTCATATAAGTACAATTTTGATATTTGTGTAGGTGATCAGGCACATTTTGAAAGCAATTCAAATTGCTTTGTTGGAAGATTTTCTATTAGCATAATAAATGTTGTTTCACACGCATTAGTGCTATTGATCATTTCAATTATTGTCTTGTTTTTCTTTTACAATTCTAAATTTAAATCAATTTGGATATAAAATCTGAAAGAAAAGCTAAATAACTGGCCAAGTTTTATCATTTAAATTTGCACAATCATAATCTTTCTCTTCCAAAAAATTTGTATCTCAATTAAGCAATATACAAATCTTAGAAGAAATTTACTTCTACTTAGCAATCTTTCACTGGTATATAATAATAACTATGGTTGTTCTTTATTATTATTATTATTATGCATCAGAAACAAATGCCATTTGATAGAAATTCCTCAAATGGAATTATTAATTTTAAGCACTAGATCAATTTATTTGTATTTATTTTTTTGATGGCTAATATTTATTGGTGAATTAAACAGTGGTGGCTCAATAAATTGTGTTACCATTTACCATTTTGGCATAAAGTTATAAACCCATTTATGCAGCTTATCACTGTGGCTGTTATTACATTATTACTGCTGGCCTATCACTGCTTTTAAAACTAATTTAAAAACTACATTTTCAAATTAATGAGGAAGCTTTTATAACAAGTGAATATATCAAACTGTTTTAAAAGTTGTAATTTATTATACCTATTTTTTTCCAAAGAAAAACTACGTAAGAGTTCATTAGATAAATGTTTTAAAACCATACACATGAAAATAAGCAATTCTGCTATGTTGTTTGTAGCTTCTAAATCATAAAATTCCAGGGGAAAAAAGAAATTTTTAATCATTATATAGGTGTTCTCATATTTTCACTAATCTTAATCTGCCACATCAGATTATTTCAAAGTAATTGTAGATACTTAATTTCAGTAATAATTTAAATCTTGTTATATTGAAATCATCTTTTATCGGGTGACAAGTCACAAGAGTTTAATCTAGAAAAGACTAAGAAAGAATCTAGAAAAGATGTTGGTTCTTTTTTATTTATTTATAACATGCTCTGCAATCAGGCACAACATGGCAATGGTATGACCCGAAGAGGACTTTTTAAAGGCTCATATCTATGTTACACCTGAGGAAAACCACAAAAACAGACATGCAGCCAGCCTTTTTGCTGGAACTCGAACCTCCGACTGAACACTTGTAATTCATTGGCTTTTACTGCTCGGCTGCTGGTAGGTCAAGATGTTGGTGTTCAAATGATAATTTTGATTACCTTCGGGTACCTCATTTGCCCCACATGAAAATGGCCTTTTATACCTGTTTATTTGCAACACATTCTTAATTTTCTTTCCCTTAAAGTTATTTCAGGGTTCCTATACATTTTCATGCATGGAAATTAAGTTCCCATCAGCAAACGAAAATTGAATAACTGAAAGAAATTGTCTATGGCCAAATTTCACTTTTGTAATACTATTGGAAGAATAAAGCAGATCTGGAAGTAAGATCCATTACTATTAAACATAATCTAACATTTAAATTACTAAATTATAGAGAAAAATATTCAAAATTTAGGTTTTATTAGCAGAAATATGTTCATTCGTTCTTTTATACCTTGTTTAAGCATATGCTTGCTCAGTCCATTGGTTTATTGCAAACTTTCTGTGAAGAGGCATAGATTAAAATAAGAAGTAAAATCATAAATTAGCATGACTCGTAACAAGAGCTAGGATGCTGCCACTCCTGCTGCTTACTTCAACAGAGAGGGGCACTGATCAAAACAGACATGAACGCCTAATTGGAACACTTGGTGATTGTTGAAAGTTAGTTGTGCATTGTTTGTCTGACCCTAGTTAGCTTTATACCTTCATGTAGAGTTCTGACACGACCCAGTTAATATACTGCAAAGTCCCAACAAGCAACTGAAGCAGTAGTGGTGATAAGTTGTTTTGTAATAAGTTTCACTAGTTATAAGGAGTAATACTTAATACTGTTAATACTAACATTTTTGTGTATCTTATATCCACAGTAAGGATTAAGAAAAGGTGATAACTTGCCTTAATGCAAAAGATAACTTCCAATGGAAGCATTTAGTAATAAATAAATAAATTAAGCAGTTAAGATACTCTTAGTCATTACACATTTATATGGAACTGATAAATTTATGTTATTAAAAAAAAATGAAAAGTACTACTAAAATTACAATCTAAGAATATTTTCACAGTTCACAATAGATAGTTATACATTTAAATTATGATACTGATTTTTAAGTTTTTAAGCAATGATGTAAGGACAACTGCATATTAAAAAGAAAACGTATGCCGCCACAAAGGTGGAAAAATGTCTAGCCCCAGCCATGGTCTTCATGATGGGAGAAGGTTATGAAAGCTCAAAGATGAGTCGTCCTTTACAATCATTAGCCTATTATGTGGTGTGCAGATGCTCAGAGCTAGCTTTGTCAGTATAGTTTCTTGTTAACTTGCCAACATTGACAAAAAATACCTAATCATTGCTGTATACCTAAGTGCAGTTGCGAGGGAACTGAAAATTATGCGAGTGTACACAAATTTTAAAGGACAACTCAAAAAAGCATTTGTGGTGCTGTAAGATTCTTTGTGTGAATACAGTTCCATCTAAGCAAAATGTTATTTGTGAAAAGTATTTTTGCAAAGATATGACTGTACGAGAAGATGTATTCGTAGATAAAGACAGGACAATTTTATGAATTCCAAGAAAATAATATATGTTAATGTGTCATGCATATCTATGTATATTTATCAAATGTCCAACACATATGACTAAAACCCACTGGAAGTAAGGAAAAGCAGAAAAGAAAAATTAATAGAAAAAAGAATTTAAAAATTTCACAGACAATGCCAACTTTAATCAATTTGATAAACTAATAATAAATACTGACATCAAAATTACAGAAACTTTGTAAGAAAATACATAATTTATGGTGTATAAAAATTCTGCTGCATTGTTTGCTATAATTTTGTCCAGTTGCATGCATCCAAAAATACTTTAAAAATAGACAAAGCAATGAATACTGAAATATTTTATGAAATTACCATTGTAATTTGCCCGTATCCATTCACTTAGTGAAATTTATTCTATTGGTCTACAGACATTAGACAATATTTTACTCTAACAGTCTATATAAACATAAATTAAGCACTTACAGCCCATAACCTATACAAAGGTGAGAAATGGGAACTAATAAGGACTTCAAAATTAGATCCAAAGTTTCATATATAACAGTTTCAAAACATATATGCATTCTTTTAAAATAACTAATTCACATTTTGTATAACTTAATTAGGTGTGCCTGCCCACGCAGCTCGTTATTTATACTATTTCACATAGTCTCTAATCAAACAAAATGCTCTCTGCAGCTCAAATATTATACAAATGCTAATTTCTCCCTGGCAAACAATCATATTCTGCTACATCTAGCCCTTATATAAATCTCAATAATAGAAATGATTTTTTAAACAAGAACTCAGTGTTTAGATTAGTGATGTACGAGAAATTTCTATTTCTTTCTACATAAACAGAGTTTTGCACAATATATGCTTCAGAGAAGACAAAAAGCTGAAATAAATACCTGTTGGCCTGGAAGAGTAGCACTTTTACTCTGCACAAGGCTAACCTTAGGAACCTAAACAAATAACTGCAATTACTATAATAACATACTGATTTATCTAATCTTAAAAGCATAAAATTTACATAAATAAACTCTCTAGGCAATATGTCCAATATATATTTTATTCTTAGAAAATAATTTGCTTTTGCTCCTTAATGATTTATAAAGCATTCTTATAAGGCTATAGTGTATTAAAGTTAATAGTAAAACATACAATAGCAGATAAGAAAACTATATGAGCATAGCAATGCAAATCTAGAACAAAATGGCTACACTTCTTAAAAAAATTGCAATAAATTAAAAAGATTTAATAACACATTTTCTAAAAACATAAACATATATGTCTATGAAGGTATGCTTCAATTTTTATTTTTTTAACAGAAGCCGTTTCTTATTTAAAAAAAATCTGATGACCACATGACTTCCTTATAAGGAATGTTAAATTATTCCTATTTTCTTCTGCAGAACATTTTCATTTACCACTTATTTCCTCGGCATTCATTACAGACATATTTCTCATTCAATTAATTCAGTTCTCACTTCGCGGCAAGGCAAAATACATCAAATATCAAAACATTAAAATATCTTCATTAAAAATTAAAAATGTAGAACACCATAAAACACCAAATACAGTTAAAACAATTTATACAATTAAAATTAGTTTCTATGCAAAAGCAAGCAACTTAGCCAGCAAGCAAGAAGTCAGATTTTTTAGTGCCCAAAAGTGAAAGTTTAATTTTGGTCACACTCAGCAAAAAGACACTGAAGGTGCAGAAAAACTAAATTCACTACTTTGCAAAGTTTCAAATGTAAACAAATTTGTCTGCTATGGTAAAAAAATTAGGCTCAGCTGCACTTAAACAACTTTAAAATCTATAATAATAAAAGCAAGTGTAATGTGTCTGTCTGTCTGTCTGTCTGACCGAGCTCTCCAGCCAAATCTATCGCACGCAGGGACCTGGAATTTTTTATACGGAAGCACAAAGGGGCTGGCCACCAGACCTCGAAGCCCGATTTTCGATTTTTGAATTAGAAAAATTTTTTTAAAAAATTATTTATAATAATTAATCACGGTTTTTTTGACTCAGTGATATTATTATTTGTTTTCAAATAACGTTCGATTGTAACAATTGATTTCTTTATTCTAGCGTTAGTTGCTGTTTTCACGATACATTAAATCGATTAATTACAATTCATTTCTTTTTGTAGCTTATTATTTATAAATTAATTATCATGGTTTTTTTGACTCACTGATTATTATTTGTTTTCAAATAACGTTCGATTGTAAAATTGATTTCTTTATTCTAGCGTTAGTTTGCTGTTTTGACGATACATCTATAATAATAAAGCAAGTGTAATGTGTCTGTCTGTTGTCTGACCGAGCTCTCAGCCAAATCTATCGCACGAGGGACCTGGAATTTTTATACGGAAGCACAAAGGGGTGGCCACCAGACCTCGAAGCCCGATTTTCGATTTTTGAATTAGAAAAATTTTAAAAAATTATTTATAATTAATTAATCACGGTTTTTTTGACTCACTGATATTATTTGTTTTCAAATAACGTTCGATTGTAACAATTGATTTCTTTATTCTAGCGTTAGTTTGCTGTTTTGACGAACATTAAATCGATTAATTACAATTCATTTCTTTTTTGTAGCTTATTATTTATAATTAATCACGGTTTTTTTGACTCACTGATATTATTATTTGTTTTCAAATAACGTTCGATTGTAACAATTGATTTCTTTTTCTAGCGTTAGTTTGCTGTTTTGACGATACATTAAATCGATTAATTACAATTCATTTTTTTTGTAGCTTGTGGGGGGGGGGGGAAGAGAGAGAGACAGTCTACATGTCCTACATACTATTCCTGCGCTATTCACTTATCTGCATTTCTAAATGCACGGGCAACGCCGGGCGGGTACAGCTAGTAGCTGATAAATCTACAACATGCAGATTAACTAAAGGCATAAAGACCTTTACTAATAGATAACAACATAATTTAATGATTTTGAAAGCAAAAAATATATAATTTAACAAAAAATTTTTTATATATCTATATAAAAGATCAAGGAGCTGAGTAACAGAGTAGGCACATATATATTTATAATTTTTTAGAGTGGCCGACTGAACAAAAAGGGAGGAGCACAAACTACATATTATAGTAATCTTATATACAAAATTTCAACGTTCTGATGCTACTCGTTTTTGAGTTAAGTGAGATGCATACATATGTACATAAGTAGAGACATCATGAAAAAAATCTCTTCTAAATCTATTTTAAATCAATTTTATAATCTGTTTGGGGAAAAAAGTTGTTTATTTTGTGCTTACATACAGATGTCATGCAAAAACATAATTAAGTGCATTTGATGGTAGTCAACATGGTTATTTTCATTGTAATACGATACACGTCAAAAGTCGTTAATCCGGACTCTTCGGGACTTCGTCGATTCCGGATTATCGATCATCAGTTTAAATCTCGCAAGATGGCATGCAGAAATTCTAAAATTAAAAATATGAAACCGTAATTTATGAAATAAAGAACAATTATGATCTAAAGGGTATCAAAATTTACAAAAAAAAAAAAAAAAAAAAAAAAAAAGCTTAATATTTATTTGTTTACTTTATTAAACATTTCTCTCAATGTAAGTTGTTTAATTTGCTTCATTTTATGTGATAATACTTTCTCTTTAATTCTATAAAAAGACAATTTCTTGTTCAGTTATAAAGTTCCGCTGTTCAAGTCCAGTTAATTGCTGTGCCGAGAATACCGACTCACTTGTCAGTCGAAATTTTTTCGTTTTCACTAACCTCTCTGTCACATTCTTCATGTCTTTATCCATTTTTTGCAGCAATTCCACTTTTTGTTTGTTGGACATCGAAACATACTTTCGTTTCGTAGATCCTTTTGAAGTTCCAGCATCGGAAATTCTATTTGACATAATCGAAAGTTCAAGTTTACTTTTATAAAATTGCTCTTACAGTCTGCAAAAAATAATAAGCGAGATCCAATTCGAAGATTAAGGAACAACGCAATCACTAACATTAACTGAAATAGATAATTAGATAATTTTAGCTGACACACCGTCCGTTATACATTAAACGCGCAGGCGAAAACGTATTCTGCACTTGCGCATACGCATATGCGCAGTAGTCAAGGTCTTACGCGCATGCGTAAAACGCCTGTGCGCATGTGCCAATGCGGCGCGTGCGCAGAAAGTTTTTAGCTTTGAGGTCCGGATTATAGATCATTCCGGATTATGGGTGTCCGAATTAACGAATTTTGACTGTAGTAATCTTATATACAAAATTTCAACGTTCTGATGCTTCTCGTTTTTGAGTTAAGTGAGATGCATACATATGTACATAAATAGAGACATCATGAAAAAAATTTCTTCTGAATCTATTTTAAATCAATTTTATAATCTGTTTGGGTAAAAAAGTTGTTTATTTTGTGCTTACATACAGATGTCATGCAAAAACATAATTAAGTGCATTTGATAGCAGTCAACATGGTTATTTTCATTGTAATACGATACACAGAATTTTTCATGATTACAATACTTCCTTTACTTTGTACAAGAATGTAAAAAATTTTTGAAACTCATTTTAAGTTTTAAAATGAATGTTTAATGTAAAAAACGTTTTACAAAATGCAATACAAACCACAGTAACACCCTGACTGGTTTTAACTAAAGTGACAATTTGTGGTTGATTTCCAGTTCCAGGTGTTTTATGGACAATAATCTGTTTCCCTCCTTGTGTTCCAACTTGAGCACCGGATTTCAAAAGAGTGGCAGGAGAACTCATGCGAACTGTCTGACCACCAAGTGCTGCAATTTTAAAGATGATCTTTGCTTTAATTCTATTTTAAATTTACACACTCATATTTAAATCATACATGAATTAATCTTCCAGCATGCGCACTTGGCAATTTTACATGAGAGCTCCCGGGTTGTATTTTTTACGACATGCATAATTTTACCATTTTGGGCATCAAAAACGCCAGAAATGAGTGAATGCTGATAATAAATTTGTTAAGACATAAAATATTAATCTTATTATTGCAATATACAAATGATATCACATTCAAATATAAATAAATTATTTTAAAATTCTTACGTTAGTGAGATGGAAATGCAACGACGTATTTCATTATAGAAAATTTTAAATTTATTTAATTATTATATTTTAAAATCGAAACTAATTTTAATATTTATCAAAGATAAGTATAGACAATAAAAAAGGAAAACACCTTGGTAGGAAAAACATCTTGGTAGCATTACTTCTGTAAAAAGTAAGTTTACATTTACTTCTGCAAGGAAATTTACTTCTTACTGGTTACAAAAACGCACTTTAAACTAACTTTAATGTTTTTATTTAGTTCTAAAAATAGAAATAAAAGAAAATAAGGAATGGAAATCGCTATTGTTCTCCCATCGAAAGGTTTCCTATCAGATTATTCTTGAAGAATCCGAGCAAAATCAGCTGGTTGCACATATTTTTTTTGCCATGAAAACAGGTATAAAATTTACAGAGCCAAATATATTTAAATTCAAATAATAGACAGCACTTAATAACATATAATTACAAAATATTAAAAAAAATTTCCAAATTTTAAAACAAAACCACTTTTATGAAAAAGCTGCCACGTAGCACAAAAGCCCATTTAAAAAGTCAAATGACTTCCTGTTGGCACATTACATGATGTGAGGAAGGGTAGAAAAGGAGGAATAGAAATGACATTCAGACGTCTCAGCTTCGATATACGATAAATGTGCATTAAAAACTGAATCTGTCGTAAATTTTGCACAGACGCGCGTGCTGGAAGGTTAAATATGAATAATTAAATCATTATTATAAGGAAATACGATGTCTACCTGCAACAGAACTGAGCTTTATTCCTTGTGGACTGATAAGAGATGGTGTGACTACTCGTATGCTGCTTACGGCAGAGGTTGTGCTTGTGGTTATTTTCTGAGTGGCAGCAGCTGCAGCAGCCAATGCAGCCATTCCACTCATTGTAGTTACAGCAGTCGTAGAAGCAGGAGCAGCCTGGTAAGATATTTATCAGAAAACTTTCAAGATATTAGAATTTTTAAGTTTTAAAAAAACTGTACAGTAAAATAACTCATTTATAATTTTGCACAATCTTCTTCATGTTAGGCACAGAATGCTGAGTCATATGATGATTTCTAATTTACATAGTAGGATTCAAAAGTTTGGCTCTGTATAGCATACACAAAGTAGAACTACTATAACTTTTCTAAAGTAGTTTTATTTCATTACATTGTGGGACTTAAGAGTATTTTAAACCAGGTATCTGGAAGCTAACAACACACGAAAAATGACCTTTATCGAGTTTGATATTATGTAGGACAACTGCCCAATGGAAAATGCCATACTAACAGAACAATGGCTAGTGAAACTGAACACTGTATCAAAGAGCCTGGGTTTTAATCCCAGAAAAAGATATCGATGTTTGTAAACATACAATATCTGTATGGCTAGGGGGCCACTCAAAATACACACCAAGCCAAAATCCTTGAGAGGTTGGCGGTAGAGAAAGAGGGGCGGAAAAACTCTTAGGCAGGCCCTACATTGTTTTCCCTTAGAATTCCATCTGCGACAAATGCATTAACGTAGCATTAATGAGGCTTAGGGGACAAAACATGCCTAACCTGGATGCACAGGTTCTGACCTTGCTTCAACCTATACCTTTCAAATGAATACTTGAAAAATACTGCAGTAGATTTATTGCGAAGTAGACTGTTTAGTTTCGAATAACATTTAATCTCCAGCATGCATATTTTCTTTCTATTGTTCAAATTGTTATTTTGTAAATACTATGTAAATATTTCTGTGAATTATTATTTTGATACTTGTATACATCATATAAAAAGTTCTGATAATATCTGGCACAGTATGTAATTCCACAAAATAATTCTATAATTTATGCAGTCTAACTTTTAAACTAATGATATTCTGTTCACATGCAGCAACACAGGATTCCAACCTATTTCCTTCAAAGGCCTTGTATGCCCCATGTAATCTCTTTCCAAGCCTTGCTATGACATACATATAGTAGTTTTTTTTTCCCCCTACAAAGGACAGACAATAACAGCTTAAGCATAATAGCAGGCCTGTTGTTCTCATGGGGATGTATATAAAGAGAGAACAGACTTATGGCATCAGGAATATGCAATGTCCAAAAATCTTTGAATGAAATTAATATACTTGGCAGCTCCAAAATAGATAATAACATGCATCAGCAATGTTAATGCATATGTTACCATAAATAGCCGAAATCTGTTTTGAAGCATAATTACTAGCAAAATTATGAAGTATGCAAAAGTATCTCAAATTTCTCAGTCTTACTACCGATTTATTAATTTTTATGTGAAAGTGAACAATGTATTTCACAATAAACCAACTGCAGTATTTTTACAACTGGTCACCACTACAGAGGATTGGAAAGACATGAAATAAAATATTTCTTTCGCTAAATACTGGACCTTTCAGTTAGAACCCATTCTTACTACAAGCACACAACTGAATTATACAAGGTGTCTCAAAAGGTCGTTGCCAAACTTTATATGCTGGTCTGTCATACTATTACAAACAAGATTTACATAGGAACTTCTGCCCGAAAACGTGAACGGCGACCGCTAGAGGGCAATGTTCACAAATTTACAGGGGAAGAAAGAAAGGATGTTGAAAGAGGTATTAATTTGACTTTCATTAAAAAACATGGTTAAATCATACATGTTTAAAATTCCACATGGATTCAAGGACACATTCAAAATGAGCAGGTGTGTCACGGACACATGTTGCCACTTCCATGATCCTGATGAGATCTATGTCTAATGTTAGATCCTCTCAAACATCACAGACTTTATGTATAAACAGACATAAATCCAGGGTAGTCAGGTCAGGGGATTGCAGTGGCCACGCGACTGGTCCGTCTTTGCCAATCCAGCTATCAAGATATGGCCTATCGACGTATTCCCATATAGTGTTTCTGAAATGTTAAGACGCTCCCATCATGCTGAAAACAGATGTTTCAGTTGTATAGCTGCTGGAACGTCAACCACCAGATCCAGCACCACTCTTTTCACAAAATGTCTATAAAGAATTGAGTCAGTAAACCAATTTATTCTTCTTCTGCAATGTCCTCACCTGACATGATTACACTTTCCACAAGCCTGTGAATACTGCCCTCTAGTGGTCGCTTTTTGCATTTTCGGACACAAGCTGCAATGTAAACCTTGTTTCTAATGGTATGACAGACCAGTATATTAAGTTTGGCAATGACCTTTTGAGACACCCTATATAAAACTGACTTCTAGGTACAAAAATAAACATGACTGGCTTCATGATATTGGAATTTGCAGGCAAATATTCACTGAATGTGGCTCATTTCTATGATGTCAAATTTGTTCACATGACAATACAGAAATGAAGTTTTCTTCGATACCAGTTTAGCTTGCTTAATTTCCTGAATTCTTTACATATCTCTCTGTTCACAACAGTGTATTTAGAAGATCTGTTGTTTTTGCTATTGAGCAAGTCATTAGTAACCTTCTTTTCCCACACAGTCAACAAAATATTCCTTTTAGGATGGGGAAAGGGGAAAAAATTGAAAGAAAAAACACGTTACATTAAATAAATCATAATTAACTTCCAACTAAACAATACAGATGTGTTCCTGGCAACAGGGTTGCAAGATCACATAGATCAATTTCCCAACTCGCATAATCACTGAGTAAGGAGAAGTAACCAATCAGCACATAGATCATTCATTCATCCAGTCACACTAAGTAATTACTGTTATATGTGTAGTTAGAATAGTTTTTAACTGAAAGTCACAGGTATTAGGCAAATTAAAATTTCGATTTGTATCTTTTCCAACCTCTCTTGTGATAACCAGCTGTAACTAGTAAGAATCCAAAATTTAAAATGCTCATAGATACCTCGCCTGTTTGCTAGAAATTATGCATAAAATGGATTTCAGCTATTTAAAGTAACATATAAAAATTATCAGTGCAAGCAGAAATTTCACAAAACGTGATAGGGAAAAAACATGATAAGAGATATTTTCAAATTATCAAGATTAAAAAAAAAAAAAAATAATGCTACTGCCTATAGATAATTCCCGGTTTCCTAATTTCCTTTCAAAAGACCTATTTCAGGTTTGTTCTTTCACTTGTAGACTATATTCATCGGAAATCAGTTCACAATATTTGTCTTTCTTGTTCGTTCAATGATGAGACCTTGGTTTAAGCTTAAAATACAACTTAAATGGCTTTTAAACTGTAAAATGCAACATCAGCTTAATTAACAAACATTTAAAAAATGAATTCCAGATATTTTCAAAACATTCTAAGTAACAATGGCAGATGTGCATTACTCTGGAAATGGGTACACCTCATCATAAAAGTATTTATATTATAATTAAGGATTCATACCTCAGATTTTTTTTAAAGCTTACAGACGTATAGATTATATTTTATATTAAAGGGAATAAATTTTGCATTACCAATTTACAACAACGGAAATTTTATCAATATACAAGATTTACATGCTAACAATAACGTCAACTGAAGAAATTAAACCTTTGGCTATGAGCAGCATCTATCAAAAAAATTCTATACATTCCAAATAACTTTAACAAAAAGACATTCAAAAGTTTCATCAAAATCTGTTCATACAGAATCTTTTAATACATTAATTTTTTGTGCAAGCAATAACGAAAACAGTGTTCCAGAAATTAAGTCTCACATTATTTATTTTGACTGAAAATTTAAGTTGAACATCAAAGAAAATTTAGACTGAAAATTTAAATTGAACATCAAAGAAAAATGTACTTTATATGACAATTTGAGTATTCTAAATACCAAGGAATATAGTTTCAGTAAAAAAAAAAAAAAAAATGTATATTTTGAAAAATGAATTATTCAGGCAAAAGTACAATCAGTAACAAGTACATCACAACATACCACATTTGTCACTAGTGGACGCACTACATGAGTACCACTTGGGGTCTGTGTTACTACTCTAATTTGTTGAGCGGGAACGGCTGTCGAGTTTCTTGACTGGACTACAGTAACAGTGGCAGCTACGGTGAAAAATTATGCTGAATATTACATGATAATGTAATTTAACAACAAGTGAAATAGTTCCATATTGAATTCCGAATAAAACATTAAAAGGGGGAATTCAAACATTAAGAAATTATCTAAAAATTTCACTTGACGTATATAATGAAATATGGCAGAACCAGATTAAAAATAAATAAATCTATATAAATAAAGAAGAAAGTTTGTGCGTTTGTCATCATTTACCCCATTACCTCATTTACTACTACAGCTATCATCGCCAAACTTTCTATGATTCTTTTCTGGATCCTGGAAAAAGTTGACGTCACTTAAAAAAAAAAAAAAAAAAAGTAGCTAAAATGAGAGATATTAATTAAAATCTCAGAAAAACGATAATTTTAGCTCTCATTTTTTTCAAAGTGGCAACAGTCTCGCAAGCTGGAGATGAAAATCTGCTTTATTTTGAAAGTTGTTGCCACTGCTCACTTTCAAATCTTGGAGTTTGTTAATAAAAGAATTTAATAATTTTTAATTTAATTTAATACAACAATGAAATAAAAATAGCACTGGCAAACATTAAATACATTATTCCTGGTTAAAAAAATTCATGGAAAGCTATTTCAACTATTTCCATCTTCCTATGGCTTTAATCAGCCGAAATATTAATTAAAAGCTTTAAAAGCACTAATTTTCACACTCACTTTTCCGAGTAGCAACAGTCTCAGGCTATAATAATATGTGCATCTCCAAATCAAATAATGGTGGTTCAGTGAGTTCACTAATTTTAACACTTTTACATTTTTAACAATATTTTAATTACTATATACAGAGCATATTCTTAGGCTGCCGCTTTCAAACATGAACAAACTTTATTCTCTACAACTAAGCAAGCAACAGCGCCCTCTAGCCTTTTTCTTCAAATTACACAACACAGGCGTCGGAGATAAAATGCTTTTTATTTCAAAAAGTGTTGCTACTGCTCGCTTTCAAATCGTAGAGTTAGTTAATAAATAGTTTGAAAGTTTTACAAACCTATGCATATAAAGAAGAATGCCTGTTTGTTCGCGTTATTGATTTCTGATCAATTAACGATCAATTTTTTGCCGTGTTTAATTGACTAAATATGAATATAGGTGAAATATTGGATGAAACTTCAGCTTTTATGACCATTTGATTACAAAGACGATAATCATTAAAAAATACATGCCACTGTTGCTGATATTACAAGAGAGAATTAGCTTTTTTTTCTATCGAAATTTTTTATGTGGGTTCCATATCATATCAGACTGAAAAATGTATGACTATGAATCATATTTTTTGCATCAGTAAGTTGCGTTCACAAACAACGTGGTCACGCATTCGCGCGTTAACCAATCAGAAGCGAGTTCAAAAGCGGCATTTGCTGGATGGCGGGAGACTGCGTAAGTTGACTCAACTTTTTGATGTGTCAGTTTCAGGCATCTCATTTCAAACATCCAGTTTATACCATGGTTTTTTTAAATGACAGTGCTTTCAAAAATTCTTCTTCATGGGAAAAAAGGTCAAATGGACTAATCTTAATAAAATGTCAGATTAAATTTAAAAAAAATTGCATACACTAATAGAATAAATAGCTTTATAAATAATTTAAAAGAAAATTCTCAAGTTTATTAGTAATAAACCTTAATAATCAACCATAAATGATACATAATTGATAATTTTTACAGAATAATCTAAAGCAATAGATTGTTGTGAGAAAATAGTAATGGATTTTGAAATCCCAGATTCTGAATTTTTCTTAAAATAAATCGACATCAATTTAAGGTTGCTCTTGTTGCCTAGTGGATAAAATGTTGGCTTTTTGAGTTAAAGATTTTGGATTCAAGTGTCACCAGAGTGGTGTTCTAATGAAATTGGTATTTTAAAAAAAAATATTTACAGAAAATATTATGGCTAGTTTCACAGTAGCCCAGATGGAATGTGATGTGTGAAAACAATGCTTCCCTGCAAGGTATCATACCAAGGAGGTAACACGCTCAAGTAGTTTTTTCCTACCTTTGATGATGATACGAATATACTTTTTTTAAAAATCCATCGCAAATTTAATTTTTTTTGGAAGGGGGGACACAAGAAACTTGCATTTATTTTTCATTTCATTCATTATTCATACAAACCTAATTTTCACTTGGCATTGTGAGCATTATCCTTTTTTTGACAATAAGCCTTTGGAATAATTCATAAGATCTGACTACTATGATCTGATTCTATTTCGGCTGACACGAGACTAGCAAAAACGATACTGGTATTAGTATAAAGTTGCTGTTTCGTTTAATTAAAAAATTTATTGAGTTCTGAATTTTAAATAATTGGTGACAAGTAAACCATTTGTTTAAAAAAATTAAGAAAACTTATTTATACAGAAAAGAAGCTCACAAGTATGTACTTGATTTCATGTAATATTTCTATTTATTTTAATGGCTTCATGTTTGTTTTTCTTAACATGCATGAGCACTTTCAACAAGTTTAATCTTGATGTTAATTTTTCATTAATTTAAAAAACTTTTGCATGAGCATTAGCAAATTTGCTTATGTGGAATTCAATTTTTAACGCAGAAAAAGAAATATTATATAAAATGCAGTTGTTTCAATGAGTGTTGGATAAAAGTGACATTATAAAATAAACCATTAGATAGTGGCTGTTTATTAATATATGAATGACTAATTGAAGTAATTACTATTACATTTAAGGTAAAAAATATGTACATAAAGCAGAAACTAAAATATTTTTTTAAATTGATGTTGTTTATTTAACTTAAAAATAACTGCTTTTTTAAGTGTGATATTTAATTTGGTAAAGCTGTAAATCCTACATTATATTTAAAAAAAATATATTTTTATTGCATTATTTAAAACAATTAAGAGAAGTTTATTTAAGGAAGTTCATACATCATGTGAAAACCTCTATGGTATTCTACCACATGAAAAATTTACTCTCCAAATCAGAATCATACAATTAGGATCTTTTAATTATCATTCAGCAAAATTCATAAATAAATTAAATTAGATATATACAGCGATTCTTTTCGGGATATATAGTCCAAACGATTCTTTTCTGGGATATTCTGACAAAAAATAGTTTTCTGCTCTTGAAAAAATAGTTCAATGAAATTCATCGAATTGATGAGGTGTCATGCGAAGGTAATTAAGAGAAATTTCGTTTTGTTCAAGCGCATTACTTCAATTAAATTTCTTGCATCTCTTTACTGCAGTCATTTCTCACATAGTAATATAAACCACTGCATTCTGCTTCTCGTATACAAAGCAAGAAGTAAAATAAGTTTTAATCGAGCAGAAATTAAATCCATTTTAGTTAAATCGTAAAATGTCAAAATACCACACAAAAATTTCATGTTTTCCCCAAGTTTCCGATATGAAGCGCCATCTAGTGCAAGCATATGCCAACTTTTAAAGGGAAAGTTGCCGCGCTGGTCCGAACTGGCATACGCTGAAAGTGTTTTTTTACACTTTGCCGCTTCACGCCCCAACGGACCAGTATGAATGCAGCTTTACCAGAGAAGGATTATAGCGGTATCATTTTCTCTGCTGTTAGATACATTACTCTCAATTTATTCAATTAATTTAATTGGTGTCAGTACTTAAGCTAGTAAATAAATAAAAAATACCAAGGAAAGTTTTTACCTTAAAAAAAGAAAAGAAATAAAAAAAGGGAAAAATTACAAAACATTTAAGATATTATGAGTTTATTAAAAGTAACAACATCTATTAAAGATGGATTATTTTAAAGAGAAAGAAATTAATGACTTTGCAAGTAATATTATAAGCAGATTAGAACTTGAACTTCAAATACTAAACCACACATAATGAGAATTCTCTGACATTTTAAATAACATATACATAAAGATAAAATTAATAGTTACGCTTAGTAACTGTTGCTCCAGTGCTGGCTGGGCTCATTGCTAACCGAACAAGAGTTTGTGCTTGTGCTAAAAACAAAATGATATAATAATGAATCATTTGTTTCGAAATATGCAAGATAAAATATTTTAAACATCTGTATTAGTTTAATAAATTTAAAAAAATTAATTCATGGTTTGAATCATACATTCATGAAAGTTCAAAATGCTAAAATTCTGCTTGTGTAACAAACAGTTAAGTATACATTTTGAAATCGCTCATTCAGAAGCATTTTGAATCATTACAAACAGAAAATTAAAATTTTTGAATCATACCGGTTGTTGAAACTACTGCTGCTGGTGCTGTTATAAGTGGTGATACTGTAGCAGCATTTTGCGTATTAACTGTAGATGTTGTGGTTGGTTGATTAACAGGTGCAGTGTTAGAAATAGGGACAGGAGCAGCAGGAATCGGATGCTGAGAAGCCCCAGTTCCAGCCATCTGTGGCGAAGTTGGAGGCATATCATATTTCTGGAGTTGAACTAAGTATGTATCAGCTACAAATTAAAAAAACACAAAATAAGATAGGCAGAAGAAAAACACCACACACTAAATTTTATAAACAATATTGTCATATCCTTCTTTTTCTTGGGCGTGTAGATTCTGGACATGTATTTACTTCCTACCGTAGACGTATCGTATTGTATGCGTTGCATAAAACAGCCATTTTAACGGCAAAAAATTTTATTAACACACAAATAAAAATAATAAGTACAAACGATTAACACACAAGTATAACTTCGTATTTTGCATCCAAGCTGACATAAAACACGTTTCCTTCGTTACTTCGCTACTACCTACTAACTACTCTTCTCTAGTAAGTCTCATGAGAGAGAGGCGTTGCAGGCCGTTCAGCTAAACTGCACGTGCGTGGTCATCATGTCATGACGTCACGTCAATATATTGTTACATTTTTCTAATTTTTCACCTATAGAAGTATGCATTTGTAAATGTAATTCACACAAAGGTTTTTATGTGTTACAATGAAGTTAAAAAATAAGCTTTGTTGACAAACATTTCTTAATGAGCCACTTTATAAAAATTTAAAAGCAGTGTTTATGAAATGTAGTTAAGAAAGAAACATGCCATCAAACCTGATTTAAAAGATTTATAGAGAGATTAATGAACTGAAGGCCATTTACATAATAATACAATAAAAAAAGTATCCCATAAGATTATTACTTTTTAAATTTTTTTACAGGAAAAGTTACCTGTTGGAACTGTTCCCCAATGAACTTCTAAAGAATGTGTGGAGGCACGTATCAGCTGAACACGTGAAGGAGCTGCCGGCTTTTCAGTCTCTAAAAACCATAAATCTTTGCAACATACCTGCAAGTACAAGACTTCAAATATAAAAAAAAAATTGTATGGAGAATAAAATATATACATAATTCTCTTTCATATAAAGTAAGAGACTTTACTACGGAGGAAAAAAAATAAGTTTAAATGGTGTTTTCAAATGATACATTCTTCTAGAAAACATTTAATTTAAATAGTCAGATTAGGAGACATCTGCAACTGCTTAATCTGTGTTCACTTTTTGCCACAAAGAAACCAAGTTTCAATTTTCAGGAAAATTAACATGCTAATTTTTCTCAAAACATCAATTGATTACCAACACACTGTAACAAATTTTTATTGAAGAAGCAATTAATTTTATTACAGAAGTAATTTAACAGTTCTTGTGCATGCATCAGGGCTTTTATTTTATAGTAAACAGGGGTTGTGAAATTCCACAAAATTTTCCTTCTGAATATACATTCCAGTGAAATAATTTATTTATTCATAGCTTCACAGATGCACTATCTTAACATAAATGCACTTTGTAGTCAGTTTATTTGCCATAAAATGAGTAAACATTGCTACAAACACAGATAAGTTACTAAAACTAGCATTCGTAAACATTCTTTTCAAGTCAAAAAATGAAAAATATGGTAAAGAAAAATTAACTAAAAACCATTAGTAATACAAATTTTTAGGCATTTTATTAAATTTTTAATCGAGATGCACAACTGCATAATAAAATAGCAGAATAAGCATAGATATTAAATTCAGGGAAAACTTACTGTGGGTAATTTTTTTAAATAGTATTTATTTTTCTTAAATTTAAGAGCAATTTTGCTACCTGACAAAACAATTTTCTGCAAAAATATTTAAATCTATTTTTACAAAACTTCAGCATGAACAACAATGAACTAGTGCATTTATTCCATTTGCCAAACTACCAACTGGGTATGTATCTTATCTGCACAGTAGTCCAATCTTCCAATTCACAGATAACAATATTCATTGCTTTATAAATTTTCATTGTTATAAAGCAATGAATATTAGCATTATTTGCTACACTTCACTTAACAATTAACAACTATGGACGCCTGCTTTGGCATAAGTCCAACCTATAGCAAAACTTGTCAGTGGACATTATTAACAAATAAACATTTTCACATTTAAACATTCAATGCAATTAATTTAATGACATTTAACATAAAATCCATAATATATAAAATTGAATAATTAAAAAAACTTATTACAATCAAATTTTTCTGAATTAACACGATTATTTAATTAGAAATTTTCCTCTTATTACTCAAACTACTACATTAATAAATCTATTTAAATATTACCGAAGGAAATATTTTAAATCATAAATAATTATAGAAGAATTTAAAATCCATAACTCAGATATCTTTATGAGATTTCTGAATTTTGATTTCTACAGGGAAAAAAAAAAAAAAAAAAAAAAAAAAAAGCCAACTTTTGAATGTTTCTTAGGCTCTGTCTGTATGACGCAGTTAGCATCGTAGTTTCGTGTAGAGTTCCTGGGGTTCTAACCCAGTTAATATACTTTAAGGTTCCAATAAGCACTAAAGCATCAGTGCTAAGTTACTTTGTATCAAGTCTCACTAGATACAAAGAATATGTTTTACATTAATTTTTACAATTTTGATGTTTTACATTAATTTTTACAATTTTGTGCTTTATCTTGTGACCACAGTAAGGATTAATGAAAGGCAATAACTTGCTAGACAGCCTTAGTCATTTGAGATTTACATGGCGACTATTTTTTTTTTTTAATATTTCTTAAAGCACTATTCAAATCACAATCTAATAACATTTCACAGTTTCAAAGACATATAATGTATGTCACTGATTAGTAATGTAACAGGGTTGCCACTCATACAAGAGAATGAAATTCCCTGACTTTTCCAGGTGTGTTTCAAGAAAATTCCAGTCTATCCGCATAACGTACTTTGGCTACGCTAAGAGGTAAATTAATTATGGTATTACTTGTATTGTGTAGCAAATTCACTTAATTATTCAATAAATCCCAGAGGACATTTATTCTTAATTATTCTTGGTATACTTTGTTTGATAATTTTGTTTACTTTTCCACAGAGGACATTATAGTACAGGCTCAAATCATAAGCAAGTAATTCATTTACATAATAATAAGTGTACATATCTTTGAAGAATAATTTTCTTCTTCAATACATTCTCCATTCATTTAAAAAATTTTGTATTTAATTCGAGATTCTAAAAAATGCATTTAAAATGTATACAAGAAGCTGATAATTTTATTTTTTAGTAATATGAGCATTCAGAATAAATATGAAATGATATATGGTCAGGAATGGTTACAGAACCAATGTGGCAAAATTTTTAGATTTTAATTGCATTCTGAAAAATATAGAAATGGCAAAACGTTTAGAATTCAGGACCACTGGCAGCAAAATTTAGGAAGACAGCAGAATTTAGTATCCACGGAGATTGCATTAGATAGGAAAATGCTTAGCGCTAATCCTGTGTACGATGCATTGAGACATACATGATAAATTTTTTAAATTGTCAGTTTTCAATTCCTTTATTAATAGGAAGTTTCCTTTTTATGAATGACTTTCCATAGGATAAGATTAGAAGTGTTTTTGATATAGTCCATGCTTGTGTCTAGTGAAAAGGAAGATAAAATAAAAGGAATAAAAAGGAAAATAAAAGGAAGATAAAAATGTTAAGAAAAAGATTTCTAGAGTCAGAAGTAAAATATTTATATATTATATTTTAATTATCTTTCCAAAAGCTCTCAAGAAAGTAAGACACTCATTAGAAGCTTTCTGTAAAATATATCCATTACATAATAATACCATGAAGATATTTTCATTTCGTCACATTTTTCTGGAATCTTCTAGAATCATAGGTCTATAAATCTTGCCTTCAAATCCTTGTAAACTTAAAGTGCAATGCCTAAAATCTTAAAGAAAAATTAACTCTACGAACTCTGCAAGAGCAAAAAGCTAGAAATATTTTGTACAAAAAAGGAAAAAATCAGAGGGAAGGGGAAACGTAAAATTAATTTTAAAGAGAAAACTGATGAATATTCCGAGACAATTACATGGGGGAAAAAACTCTTCAAAAAATTAAAAAGAAAATATTTTTACTTAATTACATAGCTACTTCATTTTTGCTATGAACTGTTTCGTAAATTGTGCTTTATAGCATTTATTAATCTTGTTTATTTTTTATATAAAAAATATTGTACTACAAGTTACCAAAAGTGAAAGTAATATCACTTTATAATATGATAGTGAGAAATAAAAATGTTATATTTTAATGTTATTTCTTAAACATAATTTCAATATATTACCACTATTTTAACCCGGCAGAAGGCGCGCACCCAACACTGACGTTGGAGATCGCGCGGGGTGACAGCGTCACCCCAATCAGTTTCATTAGGAAATGTGTTATATTTTTATTTTAAATCATTAGATTAAACAATAATTGTAATATTTCATTTAGAAACTATACTTCTTTACTTAAAAAACTTATTCAATATTTAAGAAAAAAAATCCATTCAAAATATGTATATACCTAATCAGGAGTCAGAAGCTAACATACACTTCTGGCAAACAATAGAAGAATGAATTTACATGAAAAATGATCACATATTTTGCAAGAAATTGTAGTTTTATTGTCTTTGGATCTTGGACACTAGCACGTCGGCCTTTGTGGAGTTTGGTTTCTTCTTGAGGGGCGTTCTTCTGATACACTAGAAGTCGCATTATCGATGCTTTCATGAACCACTTGAGGAAACATTGACTATTTTTTGTAATCTCTATGTAAGGCCCTGTTATAAGAGATATAGCCAAATTTTTTAGGAATTTTTCTACTTTCCATATTGTAAGGGAGGGGTCTTTGTTGGGAATAAAGCAACTCTTGTATTTATTGCAGTGACGTTCAAACCAGTAAAAGACTACCATCGGCCATCTGTTGGTTTTTTTTTTTCAAGTCGAATATAACGATAACATTTCATCAAACTTTATCTACTACACCACCTTTTTGTTGCATTATAAAAGTAAATTATTTCTGGTTTCTTCGTATCATCACTTTTATCAATGGCATCATCGCAATGCATTGTACATAACAAAACTACACATTTTGATTTTTTAGGCACGTACGATACTATTGTTGTGTTCTTTTAGAACCCAAATATAGATAAATAACAGTTCCTAGTTTTTGTTTGGACGAACTTGGTGGGAATTTCAGCCTTGTTTCTGTTCAGGGTTCCTACAACAGTTAACTTCTTTGACAAAAGTTCTTTTGCTAGAGGATAACTCGTATACCAATTATCCATTGTTACATTTCTGCCCAAACAAAGGGGTGCACAGGCGTTTTGTAATTTCAAATGAAGACTTTTCAAATCTAAAGGGACCTTCTGACTGTTGTCTTGTGTATATCTCCACGTTATAGCTGCAGAAAGTTCTTGAATCTACTAAGGCAAATATTTTGATTCCATTCTTCGATGGGTTGCTGGGTATATATTGACGAAAGGAACACCGCCCTCGAAATTTCTCTAATTTTTCTTTGATAGTAACATATTTACCAATAAGGTATATCTTTTGGCAATTTTCATATTGAAATCGGTAAAAAAATTCTCTCGCAGCCGCCAGTTTGTCCAATTTTTTCCGAGCTTCACGATTGGTCACATTGTCTAACCGTAGACACCTGAGAAGAAATTTAAATCTTTTATATGACATTGTGTTCCGTAAAATTGCAATGCCTGTTTCAATTTCCAGTAGCCCACAAATCTTGCGTATTTTTGTGACGATTTATGCAAGCCGTACAGATGTAAAAGCCCCAAAAGTGCTCTAATTTCCACATCATTTGTCGTGATATTTTTTCAATATAAATATTTGTACACTCTACAATGGATTGTACCATTTTAGCATTGAAAAACAATTCTCAACTTTCTAAGAAGCTCCGTTATTGCGTGCTGAGTTTTCTTTTAATCCTGCTAAATGAGTTATTATAATTTGAGAAGACCTTTTTCACTTTTTGATTTGGTTTCCATTCCGCCAAACTCTTATTTTTGCTAATAAAAATACTTTTTACTAAATCAGGATTTCCGTCGTCTTCATCAGTCTGCTCAAATTCTCTTTCGCTGTTGTGAGAACTGTATATTTCTTTATCAGATTAATTTTTACTATCTTGATCAATTTCTCCTTCAGAAGACTCAACTTCATCTAATACATTCCATCTCTTTTTCTTGTTCGGTAAATTTACGTTTGTAAACCATTATCTATCAAATAATCCAACAGAACCACAACGGAAACACTCGAGAGCACGAAGCTAAACTTCTATTAATGAAAATTTCGAAGCAGTAACTGTCACACGGGGTGACTCAGTCACCCCATTCCCTCATGGATTCCAAGAAACGATTGCTTCTCTCGCAGAAAAGAAAAACAAGCAAAAATAACAATACACATTCCAAGAGGAGTGTCAAACAGGAGGATACTAAAAGGATGATTCATTAAAATGAAATATTTCCGGTTAGGATTGTTGATTTTTGACGCATGGGGTGACTCTGTGCCCCGCATGACTTCTCCCGGGTTAATGAAATTTATCAATGTTATAAATGTTTAAAAAAATTCCCAGATCTCCAAATTAAAAATTATCTATAGAAATTGATCAACAAAATGTTGATTAGTCACCATATTTAGAACCGTTTAATAAACAAATTCACATTCCAAAAAGTTGCTTAGGATCTCTTCATTAGAAGGAATGAAATAATTTTGAAATGCTTACGTTTCACTTCTTGCCCGGAAACTCGAGTATCATACTGTTTATATTAGAAACAGGAACAAATTATAACTCATTCAAAACATAGCCATGTTTATCAGTGAATCGCCAAAAATATTCCTCCAAAACACAAATTTACATTCTAAAATGACACTCGCATACATAGATATAAATTTCAGATTAAAATTAAAGATCTACCAATTTTGGCCAAAATTAAGGACTTTTAAGGACCATAAATTGAGTCCAAATAAACCTACACACTTTTAAGGACTCATAAGGACTGTATGAACCATGGAGGTAGGAAAGGGAGGAGGGGCTAACCCGCACTAAAAGTTAAGCACTGCTTTGAAGCTTGGGTCACCAGATGGAGTGTTCTTTGTTTACATTCAGAAGCTCGCTTGACAAGATTCTGATAGTATTTCGACACACGACAGTCCCATGGAAATTGAAAAAAGGACACTTTCGCATGAAAGAAACATTTAATGAGAGCAATTATTAAACAATATTTGCAAATAAGATACTCTTATTTTTGCAAAAATGTTGTAAATAACCCAGTATCTATGCGTCAGTTGTACACAAAACTTATCTTATTTCATGGTCAGTGATTAATAGAGTTAGTTTTAAGGGAAAAAATAAAGTTTTCTCTCTCTTTTTTAAAATTTTATTTAGCAACATGTTTAGCTGATTACTAAATGTAATAAAAAATTATGAATGAAAAATCTCTGTTACTCAATACATATACTTGAGTAGTGGTCCTCTATTTTTGAAAGTTTCAAGACATGAAAAAGTGTTATAAATTTGTATATCAACATACTTTGTATATTGTTACCTTCTGGATTACCTCACAGTATGGAAATTTCAGGTAAGTGAATTTAGATAAATTAGTTGTTTTAACTGTTTTAAAAAAATGAAGCTATTATGCAGAGTAAGGCAATCAAGATTGCGATCTGAGTTAATTATGTGAATTGGATAATTATTATTTATTATATTATCAAAGAATTATTAATGTCATTGTGGAGGAATTTTGAAGAAAAAATGACCTTTGAGTGGGTATTAAAAATAATACTTATAATTTTCATGCAAATTATATTCATATATATTTTTTATGTAAAACTTTCGGGTGTATGCTAAATTTCAGGTAAGTGAATTTAGATAAATTAGTTGTTTTAACTGTTTTAAAAAAATGAAGCTATTATGCAGAGTAAGGCAATCAAGATTAATTATGTGAATTGGATAATTATTATTTATTATATTATCAAAGAATTATTAAACTGTGTAAAATTGCTAAAAGAGATCTGCCAAAATTTATTTTCTACAAGATTTGAAAAGTTTGAAACTTGATGGCTAAATGTAAATATAATTACTTTACACGAAAAATATAGTGAATGCACAGAAATTAAAGATTTGCACATGCTGGAAATGAAAAAAAGGAAATATGTATGGGTATTTATGCATGTGCTTGCAAAAAAAGCATGTATCTGCCTTTGACAAAATACTTAAATATTCATCAAATTATTTATAAATGTATTTGAAATGAAGAATTTATTCACTTATAAACAACTGTGAAAGTACTGTGAAGAAATCTAATGATTAAATGTATCTAATTTATAATGATTATAAATGTTATCTAAATATATAATAACCTTAATATTGAATTATAAACATAAATTGAAATCCTGTTGACAAATACGTTATAAAACTATTTAAGCAAGAATTGTTCGTATTGGAAAGCAATCTGTTAAAAGGTATTGTAAAGCAAATGCTATGAGATGCGCACTTAAGAACGTAATAAAGAGTTTTGGAATATGTATTGTTGAAATGAAGAGTAAAAAAAAAAAATCTTATAAGTATAATTAAAAGATTATTCCCCTTACATTTTATAATAACTCAGTTACAAGTTTTAAATAATACTTTAAAAAAAAAAAAAAAAAAAAAAAAAAAACTTATTTTATTCCCTTTCAGAAATGTTCAGAGAAAGTCAAGTACTATTTAAAGTATTTCGCTAATTCCTAATAATTCTCTAATTTAAAATGAACCGAATAGAGCATTAATTATAAATTGACTTACATTTTTCGATTTAAAAGATGCCTCAGAAGCCAAAAAATCATGTCATATTTAAGAAAGTATTTTAGGAAGAAGCTCTATAAAGAGAAAAGAAATAATGCATAATTTTAATATTAATAATACAATAAACTTTGATTTAATTTTTGTACCTTAACCGAATAAAATCGAATTACCTTAATTTTTTTTTCTAATATAATTAACGAAAACTTGTGAAAATATTTCATTCAAATTAAACCATTCTGAGAAAACTGACCTGTGAAAAGTATAGCATTTAATTCCGTTCAGAATGAAATGCTGTTTAAAAATACGTTGCTTTCACATACTTAGGACTCTGAAGTGTTGTAAAAAAAGAAAATATATACATTTATATGTATATTTACGACGTAATTACAAAATATTTACATCCGAACGCGTATAATACCATAGAACTCAATGGTAAATGACCCAATGTTTTGGTCACCACGTAGGGATCGCCGGTGCTTCAGAGCAGGGTACGGGAGAAACTTGTTTAGGGCGACTCCATCTTACTTCCTAACTCCATGGTATGAACCCTGTAAAGCAATGCTGTAAGTACATTATTAACATTCCCACACAATTGTATTGCTTTAGAATCATTATCTAAGAATCATACAAAGAATTCATTAAATTAGAAATATTTTTTATTTATGGAAATACGGATTGTATGTGTAACATTACTGAAGCCTCCCAGCACTTTCTAGAATATGTATTCCATTAAAATTCTATACACAAAAGATCTTCTTTCCGTCCCCCCTCCAAAAAAATTTCATGGTAATCTGAATAGAAATGCTTAGCACTTAATCTATTAACAGCAGACACCTTTTTTCAAAAGTGGTACTTTACTTTTAGTTATATACAAATGCAAAAATTTTACTCTTCAATTTTTGTACAGCCCCTGAATATGATCTTAAAAATTAAATATCTTGGCTACTTTTTGGTTGTACAGGATTCATACATTTTTTAAATTTTACATTTTATAACAAGCATAGCTTAAATTTCAATACGACAAAAGATGAATATCTCTATCTAGGACCAATAGTTACAAAAATAAAGGAAGAATAAGGTCCCCCCTCACGAGAAATTATTCCTTCATATAAAAAAAGCTTGTTTCAAAGACCTTAAAAAATCTAACAGAAAAAGAAGCCTCAATTAATACTAGGAATCAGAAAAAGTAACTGCATCAATATTTTTACAATACTTTTATAAAAATCTTACTCATAATAAAATTCAACAAAAGCAGACTACTGACTCATATGAAAATCTGATTCAGTTCCTTTTTCTTTTTAAATAAATGTAAGCAATAAATAAAATCTAAATAAATGTAATACTTCGAAATTCATTGTGACTATATCTTTAAACTGAAAATAATAAATTATTAAATTACAAATGGGAAAGAATTATACTTCAAAATGAAACCAGGAGGGGGATGCATTTTTAAATACTTGTTTAATTTGTGCAATGCATACAAAAAATCATGAAGATTTAAATAACTGAAGTTAGACTTAATTTACAGAGCAGGAAAGGGGGTAACAATTTTATATTTATTAAATTTTGAATAACTCTTACTCATCGAGTCAGTAGTTTACACCTGGCTGATACTATTTAAAAAAGACGGGGAGAAACTAGAAAACTTTGGATCGATAAACACCACCTGGTTATTCCAAGCTTTTCTATACCCATCTCGTCCACTCCATATATACAATCGGGAATTGATGGCAACAGAGCAATGGCCAGCTCGAGCTCGGGGAACAGCTTCTTCGAATCCATCCATGGCAAGTGGCTCCCAAGTCATAGTTTCTATTGAAAGATTATAGCTTTTTACTATTATTTATTATAAATTAATAAGTTCTAGTTATGAAATTCATAAGTATTATTATTTAAAAAATTAATAACTTATGCAACCATAGCTTAATATAAAATAGATATTACAGGACTTTCATACAAAGTAATAAATAAGGAAGAAATTCAAAGATTGATTACCGTGACATCAACAGAACATTATTGCTAGGTAACAAGACCTTTCACACAACATCAAAATTTGGAATAAGGACATAGCTAAAAAATTCCAATTTTAAGCTAACACTAACATATAAAAATGAAATTGACCATTCAAACAGAAATAAATGAGGTCATTTTATCGTCATGAAGTGCTGCCAGGCCATTCTTAGAAAAGCATCACATATGACACAGAAAGGTAAAGAACTTTAGTGTTTTTATTTACTTCTTTATATTAATTATTATTATTATTCATGTGTTAAAATAAGCAGTAGTTTGTTTCACTACTCAGGTAAAAGTGCATTTTTTAAAAATAAAAATGGACAATAAATTTTCTTTTTAAAGGAAATTCAGAATTTTTTTTAGCAAACTTAAAAATTCTCACAGCATCTGGGCAGATATCAGTACATGCAAGATTATCTTTCCAGGAATAGTTATGCCTTTCAGGATTGCAATCCTCCAAAATTTTTGAGGTTGAATGTGCCAATGAAGCTTAGAATAAAAATAGAATAGAATAGCTAGTTAGAATGACAAACTGTAATTCTCAGAGCATTTATAATGTGAATTCTCCAGTGACTTATGCTATGATGGTAGTGACATTTAAGTCAGAATTTCAATGGAGCTTCAAGAAATCACAAAAAAAATTTACAGATTACGATCTTAATGTTTTCTGAGTTTGAATGTGCCAATGAAGCTTAAAAGACTATGGCAAACTGTAATTCTCAGAACATATATACAGTCAAAAGTCGTTAATCCGGACTCGTCGGGACTTTGGCGATTCCGGATTATCGATTTTCCCGGATTATAGATCATCAATTTAAATCTGGTAAGATGGCATGCAGAAATTAGAAAATTAAAAATATGAAACCGTAATTTATGAAATAAAGAATAATTATGATCTAAAGGGTATCAAAAAAAATTAAAAAAAAAAAAAAAAAAAAAAAAAGCAGCTTAATATTTATTTGTTTACTTTATTAAACATTTCTTTTCAATGTAAGTTGTTTAAGTTGCTTCGTTTTTTATGTGATAATACATTCTCTTTAATTCTATAAACAGACATAATTTCTTGTTCAGTTACAAAGTTCCGCATTGTTCAAGTCCTGTAATTGCTGTGTCGAGAATACCGACTAATTTGTCAATCGAAATTTTTTTCGTTTTCAATAACCTCTCTGTCACTTTCTTCGCTATCGGAAGCGAATTATAATAACGAGGAATTTGATTTAAATCATATGAAAGACGGAGTACATCGAGATGAAATACTACATTTAAGTAAGGAATTATAAGCCAAATAAAATAAAAACATCTGCCCTGAAGATAAGGATAGTGCTGACAGATCAACTTCCAATTCATTGCACGGCCCGAACGCAGATTAAAGTTTAGATAAACTAAAGGATATGCCTTTATCCATTTTTTGCAGCAATTCCACTTTTTGTTTAATGAACTTCGAAACATACTTTCGCTTTGTAGATCCTTTACATATTAATAAATATATATTAGAAATTCTATTTCACATAATCGAAAGTTCAAGCTTACTTTTATAAAATTGCTCTAACAGTCTGCAAAAAATAATAAGCCGGATCCAATTTGAAGATTAAGGAACAACGCAATCTGCAACATTAACTGAAATAGATAATTAAATAATTTTAGCTTAGCTTATACTGTCCGTTATACATTAAATGCGCACTCGTAAACGTATTTTGCACACGCGCACAAGCATATTCGCAGCCGTAAAGGCCTTACGCGACGCATGCGCAGAAAATTTAAAGCTTTGAGGTCCGGATTATAGATCATTCCAGATTAAGAGTGTCCGAATTAACGACTTTTGACTGTATAATGAATTCGCCAGTGACTTCGATTATGGTATGTGACGTTTAAGTCATAGTTTCAATAGAGCTTCAAGAAATAACAAAAACTTTTCAGATTATGATCTTAAAGTTTCAAGATAGAATTTCTTACAACACTGCTAACAGTACGGTACGTACCAATGGAATAAATTCAAGAAATCATGCTTGAAATCAATGCTATTGAAAATAACACATTTTGTGCAAATTTACTTACTACACACTATTTCCCCAGGGGAAGTTATTAGCTCTTATAAAGTGATTGGATGTGTTATTTAGTGAAAGTATTTTATTTACATGCAAATTTTTATAAGTTAATTGAAGAAAACATCCCAGGAGTTTGGGACCTTGTCGTGGTCTGGGGGCTCCTTCTAAGGGGGGAGGTCTAATCCAAACTCCATATAGAGTGCTTGAAAATGGATGAAAGTGTGCAGGCAGAGACTGCTGTTCAATCAGAACTTATTGAGGAAGCTCGTTCACTTATTAGTGAACTAGTTGGAAATAGAGAACCTGAAAGGAAAATTAGAACTGATAAAGAAACCACAACCTTTAACCGAAAAGTCTGCTGAAATTGTTCAAGAACAAACAGTTGAAAAGAAATTGAATCAAAAGAAGGATAAATTTAAGAAAAAAGAAGAACACGTAGCGTTGTTATATCCTACGGTGAAAGGGGTTTCATCTGAAGAAGTGAAAATGAAGGTGGTTGAAACAATAGATCCAGCTCAACTAAAGATTGAAATAAAAAATGTGAGAAAAATTAACAACGGAGGAATTGTTATAGAATGTGTAAATAAAGAAGTTGAAATTTTAGAGGATGAAATAAGATCAAATATTTTGTTGAAACAAGATGCTGAAACAAAGGCTCCAAAAAAGAAACATCCAAAGATAATATTATATAATATAGAAGCTGATTTAAAAAAGAAAGAGATTCAAGAATCAGTGATTAAACAAAATCACATTTTTTAAAATGGAGGTTTTGAACTTTTGTTTTCAATTAAAGCAAAAAATAATAAGTTGCATTGGGTGGCTGAAGTTCAGCCTGCTAAATTCAAATCTGTATTAAATCAAGGGAAAATTAACTTGAAATGGTTTCGAATATCAATTAAAGAGTACTTGAATGTTGTTAGGCTTCGATTCAAGAATTTGACCATTTTCATAAAAATTGTATAAAAGTTAATTTGTGCTAGATGTGCTCGAAAAGGACACAATCATTGGGAATGTAAGGAAGATCCAGAATGTATAAACTGTATGGAAGCCAATAAAAAATATAAACTTGGGTTAGATTCTAGACATTCCAGTCTAGATAAAACTTATGAATGTCTAAAAAGATAATATGATTTATTGATTAGAAGAACTGATTATGGTTAATGGTCCTATTAAATAAATATGCAAAGGATTTGTATTTTTGTTTGAAACTGTAATAAGTTATTAATATGATTCTTAGTTTCGTTATTATTGGACTTGTAAGAAAAGAATATTTTTAGTCTTTGTTTCAATTATAAAATCATTTTTGTTATTAAAGAAAATGATCCAATTTTTTTATGAAATACAAGTTGTATAAAAAATGATTGATTATAGTTTTGTGATCCTAAATAGGATATTTTATGTAAAATTTTATTGTATAAATGCAAATTTAATGATTTGTATTTGTGATTTTGATTAATAAAAAGATATTTGTTGGCGAGGTCAATGGATCTTTCGGCTAGTAGCGGGTACAGTATGGTGGTTGGATTTTATCCTAAATAGAAGTTCCAATAAACCCTGCATATACTGTAAGGTTTGCAGGATGGATTACCAGTCTTACTACACGCTATTACAAATCTCAAATGGATTAGGAAAAATTTTGCAGAAAGAGAGGAAATGGTTCAAAAGGTTTAGAGAGGGATGCAAACTTGAACTGCTCATAATTTTTACAATTCCAGAATCAAGAACTATTTATTTTCATCAATTTTTTCTTACAGCTGGGAGTCTGTTTAATTCATATAACAGGTTGCAGAATTAAATCAAAAAATGAGCTTTGGATGTGCAACTGATGCATCCATTTTACATTGCTTTACATTTAGGTTCCCCCCCCCACACACTCTATGACAAATTATCATATTCAGAAGTGATTTATCAGTTTTAAATGAAGAAAAAAATTGACATTTTACCATCTGCAGAAGTCATTGGGTTTGTCTTCCAAATTATTTCCTAAGTTATTACAAAAATGGATTTATTTGACAGTATCACACAGTCACCTAAATATATAGTCTCCCTCTTGGGTACATTTGAAAATGAAGCAGCGATTATGCTAAATGTACAGTATTCACAGACTGCTCCTGAATTGCTCCAAAGAACTATAAATCACAGACCTACAACATCTACAACATGGCATAGCTGCAGTTCCAGAATAAGAAACATATTAATTCTAGTTTACGAAGGCAGAGTGTTTCATCCTCAACAAAGCTATTGTTTTTTGGGTCTAACTGTGATTTTAGTTCAGAATTTGGGGGAAAAGATTCTTTTTCAGTTGCAAATGGTGCTATAGCAGAAGCATTTCCTCACATTTCAGTACTTCAACCTTAAAGACTGTTATCTTGCCCAACTGTCCACACAACTTTATTTCCTATATGTCTCAAACAGTTCTTCCAAGAGTGGGCAATTTTTATCCAGGAAATTCCAATCCCTGCAACCACTAATATGTTTTGAGCTTCACACCCTACTCTTCATCATGAGATAAATGAGACTACAGAGTTGCCATTCTTTTAGAATTCATTATGCAGTCAGTGATTATTAATGAATCAAATTTGTTACTTGCTTAGTTTATTTACCAGGTAACTAAAAACGTTTCTGACATTTTTCATGTCCCATTTGATGAAGTGCTTGCAGGGAGGAAATGAAGTGACTCGTACAAGGTTAAAGCGATGAAGGCTAAGTGTAACCATTGATTTGCACTAATACAGACATACTACACACAGCAAT